CATATGAATATCTAAAAAGAATCGCATCAACTAAGCCCCAAGTCCAGCTCTGCCAAGCCTTGTGCAAATGCTTAACTTCAATGCAACTATTTGTGGTGTGTAAAGTCAACAGAACTACTGAGAACACCGAGTTAAACCTTTACAGGACTGGGTCCCTAAAGCGTCTGGCAAGCTACTGTATCTTCTTTCCTGATCTTTAAAAAACAAAACAAAAAAAACAACAGTTTGGGTTTTTTTGATTGAACAACAGTGGTAAAATTTAGAACTTATGGAGTATGGTGAGGAGCATGCAAATTTAGAACTTATTCAAGAATGAACCCAAAGCATCGAAATTTGGCTTTTCATCTTGTACTCTTTTCCTATCCCTTCCCCAAAACATATTTTGCTTCTGAACCATGACATGTCTTTCTATCTTGCTAAAATCCACCCTTTATGCCCTTGAACAGGTATAAGGTACAAAGATATGATGTAGGCACAGCTTCAGAAGCCACAAGCCAGAAGAATCTGATCTAACATGCTTATGGCTCATGCTTTGCCCACACCCCAGAAACAGAATCCATGCAGACAATACACCTTAAAAACTGTAGCTACTGTAAAGTAACTGATGTTTATCAGTCTTGGTAACTAATGAGTTGGTAACTAATAATCTCTTGGTTTGAAAGCAATCAGAAGTTCTACTTACATAACTGGACAGTCTTAGCAAAAAAGGTAAATTCAATGTGGAAGTCTTTAGCAAGAGTACTGTTTTTCAGAACTGCAACCCAAGCTGTGCTTCAGATTTCAGAAATAGTGATGCTCTTCAAACAGGCAACAGAAGTTACTTGAGGGCTATTAGAATGAGCATTAGTACAACTAAGTAGCTCTAATTTTCTCATACTATAGACCTATTTTGATGTCTCAGATTATTGCCTGACATTTAACCCTTTTGACAAAAACCCCAGTCTGTGTTACTGAATTATTTTATATTTTTTAATATACTAAAGGCATTTATTGTACTACATTATACACAAAAATATTTAACCTCCTTTGGGGTTGACAAAACTCATACCAGAAAACCAGGAAATCAGTAACTTCCTTCATACATAATTGTGAAACAATACAGGCAGCAAATTGGGATGACAGTTCAAAAACTTTAACCTTCTGGAACACTAACAGGGGAACCCACCATTACAGCCTTGAATCAACTCTTCACATTGATGTAACAGTGACTTCAAAGGCAGTCTTCACTGGCATTTAGTAATTAGGTTGCGATTTAAATCAAAAAGGGGGAACCCATCAACTTTGTAAATGCTACAGTTGAGGTTCCAAGTGGAGGAGGACCCTAAAACTGAGGGGCCTGGACAGGATGAATAAGGCTTTAAAATGAAATCTGGTCCATAAAGGCAAGAATATAGAGGTTGGTTCCAAACTGGAAGCTATGTGCTCATAACTGCTGCTAAACAGACCCTTATAGAGCTAACAAAGTGTTTCCAGGCAACTAGATAATCCAATATTGCTGAAGTCAGTGATGTCAAAGGAGACATTTGCTACTCAAGATGTTCAAATAGAAAATCACTTGCTTCAATTTCATTTTTAAAAGAATCTGAGACTTTCCTGCTTCAGAGTAGCACTTGATGAAATCCTGCAAGAGTAAGTGTTTCCTGGTTATCTTACTTCCATGATGACAAGCCAGAGCTCATTTTACCCTTGTTTTTAAAAAAGCAAAAACAAACTTCCTAAACTTGTAGTTATTTACATAAAAATAAAACTGTTGCTACCCTTTATGACAAGTGCTCCTTAAAAATACCCCTATTGTTAGAAGGGGGAAAAAAGCAGACAGTGCAACAGTTCTGTCATTTCTGCAGACATTTTAAAGAAGTTAAGCAGTAATTCTCAACCAGGGTGTCATGAGACCCTTTTAAGGATGCTAGGCTGCCACACATTATTAACACACACACAAATTCACAACAAACCTAAAAGCTTCAAAAAAGAAATCCATAGTATCAAAAATATTCTGACCTGTTGTGGTCTTTTGAGTTCTTTGCAACAGAATTGTCATATTACTTTATGCTGCTATGATTTTGGACTGCAAATCCCAGGGACCACAGGGGCAGCAGGAAGAGGAAGCGAACACACAGCCCATCCTGGCTACATGCCAGAGAGCCCTGCTCTAGCACCCTCCCACCCCCATCTAGCCTGAGCCACTGTAGGCATGTGGCGGCATTTCCTGAATCAAAGGTAAATGTCTGTTCATTTGTTTCAATTTAATCTCTGCAGCTTCAACTAACTCACAAAGACTGAATCAATGCAGCCTTGGGCTTTTTGACTGTCTGTACTTAGCTTATAAGAGTATGATGAGCCTGCTCTGTCTCTTATAACATAAGATGGGGTGGGATGATTGAAGAGTCATTACATGTATGCATCTGGGCAGGCATGGTCCCAGTAAACACTGCTAGCCCAAAAAAATCCAGTCTCTGGGGCACAGAGGACATGCCCATTAAGAGTGGAAGCCATATAAACAGTTACAGGACAGGAAAGCTATTAACTGTTTAAACTAGTAGTAGTAATAGTCTGGAAGTTCATTTTTTCTTAGCTAACATAACCAGCTATACTTACTAATTATGAGTGTTCAAGACATTTTACATTACTGGGTACAGCACTCTTATTTGTAAAAAATGGGGGCAAGGCCAAAAAACTATTTTCCAAACTTATCAGACTCAAAAATAAACAATCTTCCACACCCACCATTCTAACCAAAAATTTACATCTCCCCAGTAGCCTTATTAATACATTAAAAACAGCAGCTAAACAGTATATTTGGGCCAAAATAATATAAAAGCAGAATTCTAGCTCGCACAGGACTAAAAGCATAGGAAAATGTGGATCGGATGGTATGAAAATTAGAAGGGGTGCAGCTATTTGTTTTTCCATTTCCTAAAAAAATTGCTACAAGTACAGCAAAAACAAAGTCCACAGAAATCTAAGCAGAGGCTTACATACCAATGGTAAAGATGTAACCAGAAACATAAGATGACAGAAAAAGATCAATATTTGTAATGATTTTTTTAAACAAATGAAAAAAATACCTGATCAGAGTTACTTTGTAGATGTAGTAAAGCTTGCACTGCCAAAAACAGAAGTAAAACAAAAAAAGCAGAAACACGTTATTTGAGAGAGAGAGAAATGATGCCCAAAGCACTGGACTTCTTCAAAAAAAGGGAGTTTGTTAGATGGAATCATTAATTACTTTGACATGTGCAAGTTAAGGCAAAGTACATTTTTTAAATCAGTGGTCCAGTCACTGATTTATAAAAATTAATTGTAAACCAAGTCTCATCTACCATAGCTAACATTTTAAAAGTTACTTTGATGAAGAAGCATATGAAAATCCCTGGTAGTGAGTTGTCAGTAAGCTTTTATTGTGGAATTTGAACAGGATTTCCCTGCCCCCAGACACTGCAGATGTTTGAAGGAAGTACCAGCCCTACTCTTTTCAACTTGACTACCTCAGTTACTTTTTCCAGTCTATGAACCCCACAGCAGGTGTTTACTTACCTTTAGCTAGGGTCTTCTTTTCACTTGTTTTCCACTGGACAAGGTTCTTCTTTCCAGAATTCAAACTCCATGTTGGGTGAACTACCAGCTTATCCAGCGGCTTGCTTCTTAAATTGTCCCTTCTCCCTAACAAATGCACGTGTGACCTGACCAGTACTACTATTCTCTCTGCCCCACAACTATTAGAAGAAATACTTGAATACTTGAATTCATTTTAAATGGAGACATAGCAAGCAGAGTTGAACAAGATTATGAATGTTTAAATTATATTGTAAGCAGACTGTAGGACTTCTTTTAGTAGTGCAACAGATAAGCTGAGGTGATAGAAAACATGTAAATGGACTTGGTAAATCCTAAATTAGGCCACGTTTAGGATGATGTCACTATGAAGAGCAACCGTTCACGAAAAAACTACAACTTTGCAGGAAAGGGAAGCCAGACAGGAAAAGGTAGGTTCCTCCATCAGGTAAAATACCCTTTTCTCCCCATATGCACCATTCACTTGTTTTGAGTACCTGGTGGAAAGGGCAGGGTATCAAGTAGCTTCGCTCCACAAGATTTCCACACAGCTGACTGGCCAGGTCCCCAGGAATAAGAAAATCTTATATTCAATTTATTATTAGAAACTGAGCCATCCAAACCACATCCAACAGAATGAGAATCTCCTAGGGATGGCTAGAAAGCATATGTTCCTTAGGGGTTCACAGTGAATTTAAACTATGGTGTTACAAGTGATGTCCCATTATGGAATAATATTCTTATTTTTCACAAGTTTGAGAGACTAGATACGTCTATCCAGCAGTTAGTTTACCTCAACCTAATACAGAACAAACTCAACCTAGATTGACTAGCTAGCTCACCTACCTGTAGCTACAAGCAGCGGAGATCAGCATGAGCTGATTTCTGTCTACAGTTTTCAGACTTAAAGGGTATCCTAAATGTTAGTAGAGAATTAGGCAAGTAATCACTGCATAGTAACAAATAACAAAAAATGAATTTGGAGACTAAAGTTAGTCAAGATAACGGAAGTCCAAAGGGCATCTCTTAAAGAGAACATTAGCATTATCTTTCACTTGTCTTTCACTTGTCTGTACAAATTAAATTAAAGGGAATTAAAGTCAGAATTTGTGAACTGTGCATGAATAACTTGGCTGTAAGCTCTCAGGAAAGAGATCTAGAAGTCTTTATTGATAGAATCAACTAACAAATATCAACAAGCAATGCTCTTTAGAACTTCATAACCACTAATAGCACTGAATTACAGTTGCATTTTGCAGCAGCTTTACTGAATATACAATTGGCTGCCTCCCTCACATATAGGTGACCGCCATAAAGTACATAAGACTGGATCTGTACATTATCTTTAGTGTATCAGGACAATTTTAAACCTTTGATGTGTTTAAATCAGACATGTTATGCAACACTAAGTCTCCGGTTCTTTTTAAAAGAAGACAAGATAGCTTATGTAGAGATAATATCCCCAAAGCAGCATTTTATTTTATTCATTTAGTTCCAAAACATTTAATTTAGAATGTCTGGCATCTCATAGTCATCCATCTTAACATGGGCTAACATTGATATGGCGCTCTCAAAATACAAAGAAGACAACTAAACAGCCAAGGAGTTTACAAATAAAAATCATGATTCTTTAAAACAACTGCAAAAAAAAGTTACAGGTATCAAAATTTTAAGTAGATGCATTGCATTAAAAGAAAGTCTGTGCACATAAATTAGAGGCAAAAAACAAGTTGCTACTGAAACCTCACATTTTAAACAGTTTATTGTAAACTGATGAATAGTATTGAGTTGTCACTTCACATCAGCTTAACTGTTTTCATTGGCTGAAGGTATTTAGGGGGTGGATAACTTACTGTGCATGCACAAGATGAACTGCTTAACAAAACACTATCAGCTTGTATTAAATGGAAAATTTAAGGTTAGATTTCTGATTTACTCTCTTCTCTATCACTTTCCATAATTCTTGCCCATATTTTATAATCAACAGGCAAACTAAAATGCCTCATTTAATCTGCACCTTTCTGCACTATTTAAAGTGCAACTATGATAAATGGGGCTGATAAAAGTCAAATCAATCCAGCAATGCCCATGAAGACTGGTCTGAAACTGCTTCCTCATAAAGTGGACAGCAGATCTCAGCAGCTGTGCTGACAATACAGATATGCTTAGCACTAGATATTTAGTGTGACTGTGGCATGGAAATATTGGTGATGATGGGGATGCTCAAGTAGATGACAGAGAGCAGGGATGAAAGCTCTTTAGTTGTTGCCCTCTCCTGCTTCTTCATCTTGCTGGTCACTTGTCCACAGAGTGAGGTTGTCTCGAAGTAACTGCATGATAAGAGTGGAGTCCTTATAGGAATCCTCGTTTAGTGTGTCCAGCTCTGCTATGGCATCATCAAAGGCTTGTTTGGCTAAAAGGCAGGCCTGCTCAGGGGCATTCTGGATTTCGTAGTAGAACACTGAGAAGTTGAGTGCTAACCCGAGCCTAATTGGGTGAGTGGGCTGCATATGCTCCTTGCTGATTTCAAAAGCCTCTTTATAGGCAGCCTCTGAAGCCTCCACAACACTGTTCTTCTTCTCACCAGCAGCCACTTCTGCCAAGTAGCGGTAGTAATCTCCTTTCATTTTCAGATAAAAGACCTTGCTCTCATACTGAAAGTCATTGCAGTTCTTAATTAAGTACTTATCTAAGAGGGCCAAAACATCATTACAGACGGTCTCCAGCTCCTTTTCAATCTTCTCCCGGTATGCTTTAACCTTTTCTAGCTTCTTTTCATTTCCATCTGCCATTGTTTTCTGCTCTATGCTACTGATGACACGCCAGGAAGATCGTCTAGCACCAACCACATTCTTGTAGGCCACAGATAACAGGTTTCTGTCTTCATTTGAGAGGGGCTCATTCAACTCAGTCACCTGCAAACATACACAAAAAGATTAACTTAACTTGGCTTTGAAAAACAGGGAAATACAATCCTCATTCAGTATTTCCATCATACGAAATTAAATTGTAAGAGAAAAAAAATCCTTCTAGATAGGAACTGATTTGTGGTATCAGAACAGAAGTCCCCGAATGCACGACCAATTTAAGAACGTGAGAAATCTGCATTTTATTTCATGTGGTATCATAGCAACACTATGGTAATTGTGAACATTTATATTATACATTTAAGTATTTCACAGAACTTTTACTAAGCATAACCACTGAGCAGCATTCACTAAACTGGGGAAATGGAGAACCATTCATGAGGGAAAACAGCCTAGTCTTAGGAGGGTCACACTTATTTAATTGAATTCAAAGGTGTCTGACGGTCAAGCAGTTTCGTATTAGAAAGAGCAAAACAATATTGGACTCTACTGCACAGTCCTTATTATTCTTCTACACCCAGTACCTTCAGCAGAACCAAGCGTGCTGCAGTTAGTATGCTCAGATTCCATGTGACAAACAGGCCATAACGCTCTACAGCAGTGATTCTCAACCAGAATGCCAGGGCACCTTGGGGAGCTGCAAGATCCTTTGAAGGGTGCACCAGGAAGTATGAGAAGATAAGTGATACAGAAAGGGAAAGGCAGATAAAGGAAGGCTCAGGCTGTCCCCGCCCAGCTGCTCCCCTGCAAGGAAATAAGTATTGTAACAGATACCATATGTTTTTTAAATGGGGTGCCACTTAATTCACAGAAGTTATGGAGGGTGCCCTAACTCTAAAAGACTAAGAACCTCTGCTCTACAGCAAGTTTTTTCAGCTGCCTAGGGAACAATATTTGCAATCAATAATTAATTTTTTTTCATAAAAAACAAGGGGCAGCAACTTGAGATCTGAAGCTAAGCAAGAAAAGGAATTGTACAGAGTAAATTGGAAAGCTTAAGCAGCCAAAGCTTCCCCATGGAGTATAAAGTATTAAAATACACATTACTATCATACTTTATGTCTTATAGCAAATGTATTATCTTTGAATAATGAATGCGTCACAACCCAAAGTTGTGGTTTTTTTGTTTGTGTGTGCTTCGACATCGCTAAATCATGTTCCCGCCAAAATTGCAGCTCTTTTGCACGGTGGAGTGTTCTGTTGCAACAGAGGACCCGCGTGCAGGAGCTTTTCCTGCCAGTTTTGTAGCCGCCTTTGCATAGTGCATTTCTTTTGCATTGTAGTGATGCACGATGCAAAGGAGTTCCTGCCATTTGTATTAAGATTCGAGCCACATTATTGGCCAGTCTTAACGTAGGCACACGTAGCGGCTAGCTATTGGCTTGCTAGCCGTACAAAAGGCTTGGGTAGTTTCCGCCCAAGTTGGAGAGAGAGAAAGCACATGGAGTTCGGAAAAGGAGCGTGAAGATCTCCAAGCGCTGCTGATCCATACGAACCCAGGTTTTTCCTTAAGAGGGCAACAGAGGTTTAATTTGTCGAACCCACGGAGCTTCAACAACTCTTTTCCCGTCCCCTCGGGCCCTTACCGCCTCCGAGGCAGCTAACCTCTAGCCTCTCCCCGTCGCCAATCACAACCCAGATGTATCCCTGTCCTAAGGACCCCATTGTCGAACCCACGGAGTCTTAACAGCTCCGGGGGACCTGGGAACCGAGTAACACTCATGGAGATGCAGCTGTTCCATGGGAACGAATTCTTGAACCCGCAGAGCCGGAATCACTCCGGGGTCAAGGAACCGAGTTTATTAGAGTCCTCCACCGAGAACTCAAGTGGAGCTGTGTCTGGAAAGCTGACCAGCCTACACTGCGACCACCTTGGGTGTAAGTAAATAATCTTTTCAATCAACCATTACGCCTCCGTGACTGATTCTAGCTCAAGCATACTATACCGCACCGTGGTTTTCTCCAGCCCCATGTGCCCGGGCTGCTGGCCACAGCCTGTGTGCACAAAGACGGGCCCCCGGCTCGCCCCGGCTTGCACATGGTGACCCAGATGGGATCGGGAGAGAGCTCGCACATGGCGATCCAGGCGGGATCGGGAGAGGGCCCGCACAGAATACTTAAAAAACATTAGATTTTCTTCTCTTCATTTTAACTTTGTGTTGAGATGTTGTGTTCAATGTCAAGAAATATAAAGTGCTCCACCTCAGGACAAGCAACCCCCAACACACCTACAGGCTTGGCAGCACCAAACTGACTAGCACCACAAATGAAAGGGAGCTGGGGGTAATAGACCACAGTATGAATAGGAGCTAGCAGTGTGATGCTGTAGCCAGTAGGGCAAATAATACTCTCGCATGCATCAATCGATGCATTTCCAGCAAAACCAAGGAGGTGATTCTTCCACTCTACTCAGCACTGGTGAGACCACAGCTGGAGTACTGTCCAGTTCTGGGCACTACACTTTAACTAAGATGTGGACAAGCTCAAGAGAATCCAAAGAAGATCAGTCTTAAAAGGCAAGCCATACGAGGAAAGGCTGAGGGATCTGGGACTCCTCAGCCTGAGAAAAGGCTGAGGGGACCTGGTGGTGGCTTACTGCTACACTAGGAGATTACATCAAGGGCTCGGTGAGCAACTGTCCACCAGGGCACCCGCAGGGAAAAAAAAAAATCAGGAGTAATGGCCACAAACTCCCAGAAGACTGATTCAGGCTCAACATTAGAAAAAAAACTTCTTCCCAGTCAGGGTGTCCAGACTGTGAAATAAGCTCCCTCCAGAGGTGGTGCAATCACCTACCCTGGAAATCTTCAAGAGGAGACTAGACAGTCACTTTGCTGGGGTCACTTGACCCCCCCCGTTACCTTCCCTGCTTGGTGCAAGGAGCTGGACCCAATGATCTTCTGAGGTCCCTTCCAGCCTTACAATCTATGAATATTTCTATAGGCCCCACAGATTAATTTAGAACTATTTCTAGTTTACCAAAGTTATCAAATGGAGATTCTGAAATGGGTGGGTTTCTTGGTTAATGCATTCACTGTATCACCAACTTTTACTATTTACCATATTAAGTATCATTTACTAATTGGGATGTAAATATTGTTTAAAAAATATTCGTTTAACCTCCTACAATTATACTGGTTAAACAATTAACTGATAACAGCAGCTCAGACACAGCTGCTGTCCAGGCCCTTTGACTGGGTGGAGGAAGAAAGCCCAGCCAAACAACACAGCCTGAAGCCCTGTGCTGGGAGGGAGGGAACATCTGTGAATGAGCAGCTAATTGCTCCTATTTTTCTCTCAGGCTATAGGTACTAGTCTCCCCCTCCCCTGCTGCCTGATTCCTGCTTGGACACTGCAGCTTCCCTTCCCTGCCAGACAGCACCAGCCCCAAGCTAAAGGATAACCGGTAAGCTACCTGGTTATCATTGCACTCATTGGTTAAACAATTAATCCTTTAACCTTTCACATTCCTATTTACTAATGGCACTATGAAAATCTTATGACAACCATGAAAATACTGACCTGACCTCCCATTCTAGTCTAGTTAAATTGATTTTATAACCATTAAATACAAGATTTATATTTACACAGAGGCATATTGAAATTGGGAAGTTAAAAATGTTACAAATAAATGCTTGAGATTTCAATAATTCTGCCATTTCCAGACAACCTCATTAGCCAATGAATGTTTCAAGAAGAGTATCTCATTACAAATTAGAACAGCCACTGAAAGAACTGTTATCCAGTATCAACACACAGTAATAAGAGCCACCTTCTTATGGTTATTGTCTTAAAATAAAGCCTAGCCTCCATACCCTTTTTTCCCCATAATACATTGATCCTACAGCCTGGGGACTAAGTTCCAAAGGCTGCTCCTGATCACTTTGAGGCACTCTATATAAAAGTCTATTTTTTATTGGATTTTTACCCAATATAACATAGGAAAGTTCATATTTGATCTTCCATAGTTTTGCTAAAAGATTTCTTGAAATGCAAATTTAGATTAGATGGCAGGAAAAAAAAGTTACTATCAAAACAGTAGGACAAAAGAACAAGCTCTGCTCAGGGAAATGGTGTAATCTCCTTCATTTAAGGTTTTCAAACAGAAGCAAGACAGGTACTTGAAGGGGATCACATGGAAATAACGTATTCTGTAATCATAGAGAGACTACATGTGCCCTTTTCGCAAAGGCGGCCAACAGCATATTGGGCTCCATTAGAAGTATTGCCAGCAGGTTGAGGGAAGTGATTATTCCCCTGTATCTTGCACTGGTAAAGCCACATCTGGAATACTGGTGTCCATTTTGGGCCCCCCCTTTAGAAAAGATGTGGACAAATTGGAGAGAGTCCAGCAGAGTGGAACAAAAACAGTTGGGGGGTTGGGACTTCTGAAGAGAGGCTGAGGGAACTGGGCTTATTTAGTCTGGAAAAGACTAAAAGGGGATTTAATAACAATGGCTGTGCGATTGCTGCCTGGACTTGAGTTAGCCCAGGCCCAGAAAGGTATAAAAGGAGACTCCCCAGGCAACCAGGGACTGCTAACAGGGGAGTAGTTCATGGGCAGAAGTACACAGGAGCTTCTGGCAGAGGCTTCAGGTAAGCGAATGAGGAGGGGGGCTAGTAGTGGGGTGGCGACACTGAGCGCAGCCACGGCCCCTGCCCTACTCTGGCTCGGAGCTCCTGTGAGGCCCCCACCCAGACAGGTCCCTTGGATGGATCAGCAGCAGGCTTCATCTCTCCCCAAAAGGTAAGAGTCTTTTGTTACAGGTTGGCTGACCTCCTACATTGGGCTTTAAACTAAGTATGACAGGGGACGGGGCGGCAGGAGATGGAGAGTCTAGAACTTACAAACTGTGAGACATGCAGCAGTACACCCCAGGTAAGTAGCAAGGGGCCCTTTGGGCATCAGAAGGTGGGGGGGCACCAAAGGCACCATTTGGAGGGCTCAAATGCCTCTATACTAATGCTAGGGGCATGAGGAACACGCAGGAAGAACTTGCACTTCTGCTTATAGGCAATAACTTTGATTTAGTGGGGCTAATGGAAACCTGGTGGGACCCTACCCATGA